AGGTGGGCAAAGCCAAGTTAGCTAGCGAGATCCTATTGGCACTTTGCAGCATGTATTTGCATATTTCCGTTAGGTAACGCCTCCTCTGTGAAGTGCGCGTGTGCACAAACTCAATTCGACCTTGCACTCCTTCTAAACAACGCAATTTGTAAAACTTTGGCAAAGCTTCAAGTCTATAAAAACTAGTGCACTGTGTTCGTAACATAGTGCAGTTTTGGGAACAAAAACATTTATTGAGATCAGGTGATTCATCGATGACAAAATTAGCAGAATGTCGGGCCAGTTTCATCCTCTCCCACTACCCGCGACTGGACTTCCTCTCACTGTCATATTTGGTGGTGAGAAAACGTTCTAAACGGATGCTTCAGTTTTATAGCCCCTGTTACGTGTCTGGGTTACCTCTTCTGTCTGTGGTATGTTCCTAGACACTAACGTTGGTCACATGACACAATCAGGAAGAAGTTCAGACCGGGCAGTGCAAAAGGTTTGTGAGTCGTACGACTTGTCAGACAGCTTTTTAGAGACGTTGTTTACCGTCAATATGCCTTAGGGGGACATTTACAGAAACATTTGCTGCCATCGGGTACGGGTAAAATGTAATCCAATCGTATGGATTCATTTTCAATTTTCAAAGAGATCCGTAGATAGTTATTTAACGTTAGCAAGCTCACCTGCGTGACATCGAAATTCAAAGTTGGCAAACCTTCACGACACATCCTACTGACCAAGTAGTTAATTATTAAGATAGCTATGCAAATCGAGAGTGTAGTTAACTAGTTATTGTTATATGTTGTGAAGCTAACAGCTAGATAGCTACCAGAGTTGTTATAGCTAGCTGCTATGTTGATTTAGCTAGATACTAGTTTGTTGTTTTGGCCTGTTTAGCGACCTGGGATTATTATAGTAATCTTCCCTGTCAATTTTCTCTTGCCATTTCCCATTTCTATCGCTCCCTTTCCATGTAGAAGTAATTTATAAATTGTGTTAACTACTTTTATGATTTTAGAAATGATTCAAAGATTAACTAGCTACAGGGTAGTTAGCTAGCTAACAGACTTTAGCTACTTAGATAGCTAACGTTAGCTAGCTAGCAAAATACAACCATATTAGACCTTACATTAAAACTTGGATTAGCTAGCTAGCTAGCAAGCTAGCTACCTATTCCCCCACACAAACTCAAACACACAGTACCTAGCAAACTTACTAGTCAGCATTTGACTTTCTACGAGCAGTAGCTAGCTAGTTTATGTAATGTCCGATTTGCTCTTTGCAGTTATAGAATTTGGTGGTAGCTTCTGAGCTTGATTTAATTGCCTGTGGTTGTGTGGAAGTTAAGAAACCAAGGGAAGAGTAATTGCCTTGAATCAAGCAATTAAGCAGGTTACAGTAGCTAGTAAAGAAATGAGGCGAGGGGGACAGCCCAGTGGGTTGTCCCCCTTGTTCTGGTCCCTGTGGGACCCATTGTAATTCCAAACATGTCATCAAACAGACATGAACATTTAGGCTAAAGCATTTGGGTTATATTGCAATACGCTATACATTTGTCCTTGTTTTCCTACGTTTTTTTCAATTTGCAATCACTGCACTGATGATTAGCATATATAGGATTTTTTTAGACAGCTCTTTTCAGGCAATTCCATGGTAACAGAGTGAGACTCAGATGTTTTACTTTAAAATGTATGCCAAACAAAAACAAATGATTGCAAATTTAAACAAACCATACAACTCTATGCACAAGTACAATTATTTGTTATTTTTTACTTTGCAATGATTGATTTTTGTTTCAGTGTCGTGGACAGTTCCCATTGGATATTATTAGACATGAATGCACCTATTTGTAAGTCGCTCTGGATAAGAGCGTCTGCTAAATGACGTAAATGTAAATGTTAACTTGTTAGTAGATTGAAAGTTTACACTGGTTTTACGTGTGCACACCGTGCAGATGACCAAACTGGCCAACCCTCGATGACAAGGCTACTTTAGGCTAAATCTGACAATTGCCTTGGAAAGTCGCATCCGAATGCATTTTCAATTCTTATTATGTAAAAGACAGGTATCCTCAACCTAAATTAAATCTACTTGCTTGAATTATCTTGGCTCTGCTTTGGACACAACTCTGCTTAGTGAGTAGACAGAGGAGATGTCAGTAATCTAGCTAAAATACTTTAATAGCTTTTAGGCTACTCAACAACATTAGGCTACCTACATTTTTTTTTTTTTTTTTTTGTCATTTAGCAAAATGTCATCTATAATCTCATAGTTTTTACAGGGACCCATAGTCTGTAACTCAGTCACCTATGAGCTGCTAGGCCTAACCGAAGACACCAACCAGGGTCTTAAACTATCGCTGACTCATGATGTACCAGTTTACGTAATCTGGTAATCCAGGAGGGATTACATTTTTCCTGTCCTTCTGCTGATTTAGCTGTTACCACCACATGGCTTCTCAACCAGTGTCCCAGCTCTATAGTAGAACAACAACAAGGCAGTTGAATAGCCCTATTTGTATTCCAAGGCTACTCTCTGTACAACAAAATTCTCAATGTTAGCATTTTACTGCCTTGTTTTGCTTAAGTCTCCATGGGTTTGTTATAGGCATAAATGAAGGAGTATATTTAAACGTTCCATTGACTACAGTAAGACGTAAACCAGGACACCTGTACTATAGATAATCCCTTATGTAAACCAGGACACCTGTACTATAGATAATCCCTTATGTAAACCAGGACACCTGTGCTATAGATAATCCCTTATGTAAACCAGGACACCTGTGCTATAGATGATCCCTTATGTAAACCAGGACACCTGTACTATAGATAATCCCTTATGTAAACCAGGACACCTGTACTATAGATAATCCCTTATGTAAACCAGGACACCTGTACTGTAGATAATCCCTTATGTAAACCAGGACACCTGTACTATAGATAATCCCTTATGTAAACCAGGACACCTGTACTGTAGATAATCCCTTATGTAAACCAGGACACCTGTACTATAGATAATCCCTTATGTAAACCAGGACACCTGTACTATAGATAATCCCTTATGTAAACCAGGACACCTGTACTGTAGATAATCCCTTATGTAAACCAGGACACCTGTACTATAGATAATCCCTTATGTAAACCAGGACACCTGTGCTATAGATAATCCCTTATGTAAACCAGGACACCTTTACTATAGATAATCCCTTATGTAAACCAGGACACCTGTACTGTAGATAATCCCTTATGTAAACCAGGACACCTGTACTATAGATAATCCCTTATGTAAACCAGGACACCTGTACTATAGATAATCCCTTATGTAAACCAGGACACCTGTACTGTAGATAATCCCTTATGTAAACCAGGACACCTGTACTATAGATAATCCCTTATGTAAACCAGGACACCTGTACTGTAGATAATCCCTTATGTAAACCAGGACACCTGTACTATAGATAATCCCTTATGTAAACCAGGACACCTGTACTATAGATAATCCCTTATGTAAACCAGGACACCTGTACTGTAGATAATCCCTTATGTAAACCAGGACACCTGTACTATAGATAATCCCTTATGTAAACCAGGACACCTGTGCTATAGATAATCCCTTATGTAAACCAGGACACCTGTACTATAGATAATCCCTTATGTAAACCAGGACACCTGTACTATAGATAATCCCTTATGTAAACCAGGACACCTGTACTGTAGATAATCCCTTATGTAAACCAGGACACCTGTACTATAGATAATCCCTTATGTAAACCAGGACACCTGTGCTATAGATAATCCCTTATGTAAACCAGGACACCTGTACTATAGATAATCCCTTATGTAAACCAGGACACCTGTACTGTAGATAATCCCTTATGTAAACCAGGACACCTGTACTGTAGATAATCCCTTATGTAAACCAGGACACCTGTACTATAGATAATCCCTTATGTAAACCAGGACACCTGTACTATAGATAATCCCTTATGTAAACCAGGACACCTGTACTATAGATAATCCCTTATGTAAACCAGGACACCTGTACTATAGCCGTGTGTCTTGTCTCTTAATGTTTACGTGTGATGTCACATTTGCTTTCTTTGCAGTTCATGTCGTAGCCGAAGCAGGCTGCAGTGTTAATGGCTGAACTATGAAGGCCCAACTTCAAGTCACCGGTGAGTTTTGACCTTTTTGTTACTGCCAAACCTCAGTAGCTAGCATTTCATAGTTTCAAGTTTTATTAGTTGTATGTAGGCTAATAGTAAAGTAATGTTTTTTCTTAATTATGTAAATATTGTTTGTCAATAGAATATAAATAATACAACTATTTTTTCTCTGTAATGTATTTTCCGTTATGTGGCGGACCTCAGGAAGACAAGCTGTCATCATGGCTGTAGATAATTAGGATTCTACTAATAATCCTAAATGAAATAATCAACCACTGACACCCGAAGCAGTAGAATGCGCTATTGAATGGGACTGGCCTGTGTTTGTTCTCTGTAGACCTAGCTGATGGCACAGGCTGTGAATTGATCAAGTATTTATAGTGTATGAAATGGAATAGAATAACTTTATTTTCTCTCTTATTTTTTCAGTGGTTGAAATATATATCAATAAAAAACGTAGTAGGATATACAGTACACGTACTAGGCTAAATAATCGTTCAAAACAGAGGTAGTGGTTAGGCTACAGTGGTGGGTCAATTAGCCTATGTGAACATGGTTCTCACGTTCACATTGTGTGGTTTATTTCTGTGGCTAACTTCCGTGACTGGTAACAGCATTTAGGCTCTTACCCTAACAGCATTTAGGCTCTTACCATAACAGCATTTAGGCTCTTACCATAACAGCATTTAGGCTCTTACCATAACAGCATTTAGGCTCTTACCATAACAACATTTAGGCTCTTACCATAACAGCATTTAGGCTCTTACCATAACAGCATTTAGGCTCTTACCATAACAGCATTTAGTGACATTATTTGTGTGTTTTATGTACTTTATTGCATGAAGTTCTGTCGGCCAAACTGAAGGAGAACAAAAACAACTGGTTTGGCCCCAGTCCGTACGTGGAGGTGGCTGTGGACGACCAGTCGAAGAAGACGGAGAAACGCAACAACACCCACAACCCCAAATGGAAGCAGTCACTCACAGTGTAAGTAGCTACAGTAATACCTATTTGCATTTCAAAACAAATTTTATTCATCACATGCGCCAAATACAACAGGTGTAGACTTTACTGTGAAACGCTTACTTATGAGCCCTTTCCCAACAATGCAGAGTTAAAAAGTAAGAAAACATTCGCAAAAAAAAAATGAATTTGTAACATAGTTACAAAATGAAGCTATATACAAGGAGTACCGGTACCGAGTCAATGCGTGGGGGTACGACGTACTTGAGGTTGATATGTACATATAGGTAGGGATAAAGTAACTAGGCAACAGGATAGAAAATAAACAGTCGCAGCAGCGTGTGTGAAAGTTTGTGTGTGGCGTCAATATGCGTGTGTTTTGTGTGTGAGCGTATGTTCTGTGTCAGTGTGTGGGTAAGGTCCAGTGAGTGTGCATAGAGCCAGTGCAAGAATGTCAATGCAAAAAAATATATACATATAACACAATTCTGTGGGTCAATGCAGATAGTCCAGGTAGCCATTTTGATGAACTGTTCAGCGCTCTTATGGCTTGGGGGTAGAATCTGTTCAGGAGCCTTTTGGTCCCAACTTGGCGCTCCGGGACCGCTTGCCCTGCGGTAGCAGAGAGAACAGTCTATGACTTGGCTGGCTGGACTCTTTGACCATTTTTAGGGCCTACCTCTGACACCGCCTTCCTCTGACAAATGTATATTTGCATGTATATTTATTTAGCATATACAGTGAGGAAAAAAAGTATTTGATCCCCTGCTGATTTTGTACGTTTGCCCACTGACAAAGAAATGATCAGTCTATAATTTTAATGGTAGGTTTATTTGAACAGTGAGAGACAGAATAACAACAAAAAAATCCAGAAAAACGCATGTCAAAAATGTTATAAATTGATTTGCATTTTAATGAGGGAAATAAGTATTTGACCCCTCTGCAAAACATGACTTAGTACTATCAATCACAGAGGTCAGACGTTTCTTGTAGTTGGCCACCAGGTTTGCACACATCTCAGGAGGGATTTTGTCCCACTCCTCTTTGCAGATCTTCTCCAAGTCATTAAGGTTTCGAGGCTGACGTTTGGCAACTCGAACCTTCAGCTCCCTCCACAGATTTTCTATGGGATTAAGGTCTGGAGACTGGCTAGGCCACTCCAGGACCTTAATGTGCTTCTTCTTGAGCCACTCCTTTGTTGCCTTGGCCGTGTGTTTTGGGTCATTGTCATGCTGGAATACCCATCCACGACCCATTTTCAATGCCCTGGCTGAGGGAAGGAGGTTCTCACCCAAGATTTGACAGTACATGGCCCCATCCATCGTCTCTTTGATGCGGTGAAGTTGTCCTGACCCCTTAGCAGAAAAACACCCCCAAAGCATAATGTTTCCACCTCCATGTTTGACGGTGGGGATGGTGTTCTTGGGGTCATAGGCAGCATTCCTCCTCCTCCAAACATGGCGAGTTGAGTTGATGCCAAAGAGCTCCATTTTGTTCTCATCTGACCACAACACTTTCACCCAGTTCTCCTCTGAATCATTCAGATGTTCATTGGCAAACTTCAGACGGGCATGTATATGTGCTTTCTTGAGCAGGGGGACCTTGCGGGCGCTGCAGGATTTCAGTCCTTCACGGCGTAGTGTGTTACCAATTGTTTTCTTGGTGACTATGGTCCCAGCTGCCTTGAGATCATTGACAAGATCCTCCCGTGTAGTTCTGGGCTGATTCCTCACCGTTCTCATGATCATTACAACTCCACGAGGTGAGATCTTGCATGGAGCCCCAGGCCGAGGGAGATTGACAGTTTATTTTATGTTTCTTCCATTTGCGAATAATCGCACCAACTGTTGTCACCTTCTCACCAAGCTGCTTGGCGATGGTCTTGTAGCCCATTCCAGCCTTGTGTAGGTCTACAATCTTGTCCCTGACATCCTTGGAGAGCTCTTTGGTCTTGGCCATGGTGGAGAGTTTGGAATCTGATTAATTGATTGCTTCTGTGGACAGGTGTCTTTTATACAGGTAACAAACTGAGATTAGGAGCACTCCCTTTAAGAGTGTGCTCCTAATCTCAGCTCGTTACCTGTATAAAAGACACCTGGGAGCCAGAAATCTTTCTGATTGAGAGGGGGTCAAATACTTATTTCCCTCATTAAAATGCAAATCAATGTATAACATTTTTGACATGCGTTTTTCTGAATTCTTTTGTTGTTCATCTGTCTCTCACTGTTCAAATAAACCTACCATTAAAATTATAGACTGATCATTTCTTTGTCAGTGGGCAAACGTACAAAATCAGCAGGGGATCAAATACTTTTTTCCCTCACTGTAGGCCTATAGTGCATTTCTCACTCATAGTCCTGGACTAAAACGCATGCTCAGAGATT